TTTTTTTTTTTTTTTGTATCTGTCACACTGTGTCTCACTGGACCAATTTTTCTTATCGATACGTCAAAGATCACAAATCGTATCTAGTTGATGGCATTATCCTCAAAAATTGAAAATGTTTCCCTAATTTCCTGTAAATAGTGAAAATCTCCCCAAAAATGACGATTTTTAAAATCAGTAAATTTTGACATATAAATATATATAAAATATTTATATAAATATAAATGTATATTAATTTTTTTGTAAATACTTTGTGTTTACTTTTTTCATTTGATATACATTTTATGACTTCAGAGGGATTCAAAATAACAACTTTTACATACAAGTTAAACTTTTTCACTTAATTTTTGAAAATTTTCCGGAAATATTGACACTTTCATTAAATCTTAAATTAAAGCTAATGTAGTTTAATATTCTATAAAAAAAAAAATTTTGGGATATAGCAAACATGGTTATTATATTCAAAAATATGCTATTTTTGTATTAAAATTCTTGGTATTATATTTTAATATACCTTATAATGGGATGCACTATTTCCATAAATATTATATAATACTAATTGACATAGAGTATAAAGTAAAACTTATTTCAATTTTTTTTTCTTTTAAGTCGAAAAAGTTAATTTAAATATTTGAATAAACTTAAATTACCAATTTTATTTAAAATGAATGCAACGAACGTTTGCCGATTCAGTAAATTCATTGCCTGTTCGCAATTTTTCCTTAATTCTTTTTGAGTTAGAATTTTGTTTTTGGTTTAACCCACCAATTTCTTAAAATTAAAACCTAACTATATATTTTCATAGAAACGTTCCTTGTGATAGTGATTTTAAACACTGATAGATATCATCTTTACTACTCCCAACTATACCACGCCCATACTGTGCCGCGAGTCCATTATGTTACCGTTTTTAAGCATAAACTTACAAAATCAGTTCAGAATTTACATGGTCAAATAACTAAAAAATAACACAATTGTAAAATCAGTTCCTTCTCATATTCTATTTGCTTACGATAATCCTACCCAATTGAACAAGTTTAAATACATTATTTATTCATTTAGCTATATTTATTGTATTTTCAAACATTAAAATAACTGAGTTAAACTTTAAAAAGTTAGTATTATAATTAGTTATAATAATTAGTTAATGAATCAATCTATTTAAAAGGAAAATTTTGTTTGGTTTAGGTATAGGTGTAATGTTAACTTTTCGCCATTTGTACGGAAAAACATTTTGTGTAAATATCAAGTTATATAGATTTAGTTATAGCTTAATCCTTTTTATAGGAGGTGTTGAAAAAAAATGTAGGGTGTGTTATCCTGGGCTTTTACTTTTTTTTTTATTTAGTCCTCTAATTAGTTCAGTCTCGGTAAATGGTATATTAAGGTGTTCATTGGAAGGGGATGACAGTGTATTATACATACAGTGTATAATGTAAGGTTATGTTAATTTTTGTTTTTCAATTGAATGAAATTTGCACTGTAGTTAGAGTCACTGCTGTTATGTTGGAAAATATTTGCTAGAGTTTCAGCCATGGCTTTGTGATTAGTTATTGTGAGTCAATTGTGTGAATCATGCTGTTATTCCTAAGGCCTTTGATTGTTCTAATTTTGTTCCAAATTTCTATCGTCTGTGTTTGGGAGGTTATGCTAGATATGTATTTTTGTCAAGATTCTTTTTTTCTTTGTTTAATTGTATATTTTGCCACAGCTTTTACTTGTTTAAGTTGGATATGATCACTGATTTTGTTTATTTTTAAATCAATGAAGTCTTTCTTGTAGTTTTTTTTTTTTTGCAATTTAATGTTTTACCAATGTATATTTTTTTTATTATTGATTTCATGGATTCCTATAACAGTTTTTCGTGTTTCAGTAATAATTTTTGTAAAAGTTTCAACTGCTTCATCTGTAATACTTGTATTTATTGGTAGGTTAGTAAATTTATAAGTAATCATTTCTTCGAATAAATTCCAGTTTGGGTTTTTTAAATTCCATCTTGTTGTTGAGACGACTTCTTGTTCACTATGGTCTATTATGTCAATTATAATAGGCAAATAATCACTGCTAGAGTATGAAGAAGAAACTGTTCAGGTTAATTTATGTGCCAAGTTAATATTGGTAAAAGATAAATCAATGGCAGAAGTATTTCTGTTAGCTGTATTTATGCGCGTAGAATTTCCGTTATTTAGTAAAATAAGATCTTTGTTTTCTTCTAGGATACTTTCATCGATTTTTCCTCTGAAACCATTATTATTACATCCCCAGTTGAGATTTCGGCAGTTAAAATCACAAACTAATATAAAGGGTTTAGAAAGTTGATCGATAATGCTGATAATGTCATTTTTTGTGAAAGTTGTGATATCTGGAAGGCAAATATTACATATTGTTAAAGTGTCTTTGTCTATGTCAATTGAGATTGTTTTCGTTTAAAATTTAGTGTTAATACAAATTGCTTTTAATTTATAGCATATTTCTGTGAAAATCTCAACTCCTCCGCTGGCACAATTGAAATTTTTTCTATTTGAGAAAACACCATTATAATTTTTTAGTGTTGCTACTTGGATGATTTTTAGGTTAGTTTTGAATTTCTGGTATTCTTCTGTAGAAACCATTTATGTTCCACTATAATAATTTTTATAGTTTTAAATTTTCTTGGTTATTTGTGTTCAAGTATGTTTATATGTATATGTATGTATTTTTAATTATCTATATTATTACTATAATTATTGTTTTTCAATATAAAAGAACATAATTTGTTATTTAAGGCTTGAGTCTTTTTTAATTTTCGTTAAAGTTCGGTTTAAGCGATTTTTAAGGCTGCGATCACTAACGAGTCTATGTACATTTTCTATTACTATTATTATTATATCTTGTGGTTTTACATTATATTGTTCTAGTAGCGAAAAGCTATTTATAAATTCCTGTAAGTTCTCAGTCAAAAAGAGAAATTAAAGATGATTTATATCACTAGTAGCTAAATTATTGAGGTAATATTTTAGGAGCTGTAGTGAGTCATTTTGCTTAAAGAAGAAATTTTCTAGTGAGTTTTTTTTAATTTGAACTTTGTGTTTTTCTTTTGGTTTTGTCAATTAATTTTTGTTTTAGACTTGTTGTTAAGATTGAACATATAGGTGTGTTGTGAATATTTTCCTGAGGTGTGTTTTGAGTTTGTGGTTTTGATGGTGACGATGGGTGCTAGATAATGATGGAGGCCTTTTTTTTTTGTTTTAACATAATTTTTTGAGTTTTTGTCTTCAGGTGGTTAACTTTTGTAGAAATACAGGGGGGTACTAGAACCTTTGTTAGTGTCAGTTTTTTCTTTATCTACTTTTTTATTCAAGTTTATTTGATTTTATGACGGATTAGGTACGGTTTCAGTAGGTATGGGATTATTTTGGGAAATATTGTTTGTTTTAGTTGTTATTGTATTCATTTTTGGTGTTTTTTTACAATATTGTGAGGTATGTCCAAGTAATATGCATAGGAAACAAGTGATTGTATCATTAGTTAAAAAAAATCAATAATCTGTGCCGTCGTGTTTAATAATTAGTGACCCTGGTATATTTACACTATCGTCAGAATGTATGTATACCTGCCGTCTAAAATTTATCACATTTGATAACTCGTCATTGTAACCGGCTTTCATGAACGAAATAGGTGAAACAGTTTTTATACCTTCTAATATGAGTGCTTCCATCATTATATCATGTGGTACTACTGGGTGTGCGTTTGGGATGATAACTCGTTTTACTGGTTGATTAAACGACGGATCTTAATAATATGGTTATTTATATAGACGGACGAGTGTTTGTTTATTAAATTTTTTTTTTATTGTATGATAGACGAGATGCAAAAATTAGGTTCAGTTAATTTGCTAATCGCATTGTCATATTCTATTTTGAGGGATTTAATCTAATATATTCATAACTATAGCTTGACCTTTTTTCGTAAATTTAGTGTGTGCTGTGGTTTTGGCAAAGGTATTTGTTAAGTTCATAGTGTTATGTTTAGAGGTGGAATTGTTATTAATGTTGTGGTTTTGTGTCATATTAGATAAATTATCACTTTTATATGATGTACCGTTGTGCGGAAAAGTGGAATGTATTAAGTATAGTATGAAGTCGTTAACAATAAATAAAGATTCATACCTGTAGGCGATCACTTTGTACTGCTATCGATAGCTATGAAATGCAGGATTAACATACGTGTGTATCGATCAGAGTTCAAACACGTACTGATTTTTAAGTATTATTTTACTTTATTAAAAAATATCGTTTTTCTTTCAATCTATTTTAGTATTTCCATTAGGTTTAAACATAGCTTATTCACTATTTTTTTTATACTTGTTTAGATGGGATTTATCGAGATTTGAGTAAATATTTAACTGAAGTTGAAGTTAATTAAAATATTTACTATGAAATTGTACATATAAAATTACTATAATATACATTTTTTTTAGTAAATGACATAGCCGAAGCTATAAGAAGTAAACAGTATTTATATATATCATTAAATATTAGATATTACTAAAATTATATTATAATAACCTATTTATTATTTAGATATTAATACGACTTCAGATTTGTCTGGTAAAAAGAGGATATTTTATTAATACATATATAGAATTTGTTGTATTTGGTGTTAAGTTAGAGGCTAATTTTTCCTATGTAAAATAAAAAAAAAAGTGATATTTTAGGTTATAAATAAATATAGCATATCTATTTCATTATGATTATATAAAATAAATTTTAACTTGTGTGAAGTTTCAAACTTGTTTAGATTACAAATCTGTTGTTACGAGTAAGCAATTAACTAAAGAATTTTAAATTCTATGTAATACTTTTTATTAAATTTTGATGGAGAAAATGAGAATTTGAATATATAAAAACACTCATTATTACATAACATTTAAGATTTATTCTTTTATGATAATGATATTACTAAGGTTATAACACTTTTTACAATATTGGACTCTTTATCTAAGAGAATATTCAATTATAATATAAAATTAATTTAAAAACCACTGAAAATAATATTAATCGTCCTGACCTGCTAACTCAAATACCACTTAATGTTCCCGCAGAACTGACCCACTGACTCGCCCGTACCAATTAAACATTCCTATAATTATTATGAAAAAATCCTATCTCAATGTGTACCAAATATGATAAAAAGTGTTTTTTTTTTTAAGCATAAAATATCAAAATTTACATGGAAAAATACTGAAATAAAGTACATTATTGTGATTAAAACTTATCAGTGTCCGATTGCCTACAATCGGACATTAAAAAAAATTAAGTTTATACGTTTCAAATTTCGTATAAACAAGTTTCTGAAAAAAAAATATATATAAAATATAATTGTTTTAGATAATGACTTGATGCAAGCTATAAGAAGTTAATGATAATTTAATGGATTTATATCCACTGGATTGTATTAATAACATTTTATTATTTAGATGTCAATGCGACTTCAGATAATATTGGTAATGCGGGAAAATGTTATTAATTCACATAGAATTTGTTAGTTATATCTTAATATGACATTAAGTTCGAGGTTAATTTTTCTTACATAAATTAAAAAAATATAGTTTGACAATAACAAAATTTTTTTTAAAAATAATTGTTTTACGTTTTTATTATATATTGCATTTCATTCTATCAATTTAAGTATTAAGAATAGGTGTAAACATAGCTAATTCAGTTTTTTTTATACTTGTTAAGATGGATTTTATCGAGTTTTTGGTAAGTATTTAACTAAAGAACTTTAAAGAAAATTATACTTTCTTTATGATTCCTTAATTTTTTAAAATTAACTTTTTGAATATATTGATGAATAAAAAAAGAACAATTTTGTTGCAAAATAATTTTTTTAGTTAATTGATATAAAAGCCAATAACAACAAATATTTTGGGAAAAGTCATTCGCTTTTTTATTTCCAGTATCACATTCAAAAACATTAATTATAAAGAATTTTTAATATACTTGAAAAAATAAGCATTGTTTAGGTTTACTATTCATGAAAATCTAATGAAAACCCAAGTAAAAGATGCAGTGGTGCTCCTCAATCCAACTAATCTACCATATTAATATAGATAGCTTTTTAATGATATAATGCCTGTAATAATGATGGAGGTTTATAGTTGGCTATATAACCTAAATAACAATTATGGTTTATCGGTAAATTATTATTGAAATGTCCCAGTATATGCAAAATAACCATTATATTACTTCAAGAGTAATATAATAAAAACGTAAAACTATAAACGATTTTTGGCCGATTTTGCAGATGATATTTTCAACAGAATCACATTTGGTTTCTTTTGACATATAGATTGTCAAAATCGTTCAATGAGACATTAAGAAACTATAATACTTTTATACATTAAAATTTCTTTAGTTACAGGGTATTTTTTAAAAATAAAAATAATAAGGAATTCTTACTGGAATTTAGTCATTTTTGGATTCAAACTCAAATAACTGATTGAAAAAATATCTGAAGACGTTTTAAACGTTATATTCATCAATTAATAAAACTTTACTTTGTCTTTGATATAAAAAAATAGTTAAAAGTTATTATTTCATCTCTCACTAGTCACTAAGTACACGATTTCTAGATAATTAAAACTTATTTATGGAGACAGGGACAATATTTGGCAGACGTCAGATAGCTTCCAATTCTTGGTTTTGACCAAGATCACCAAATATTAAACAGATCTGTAACACAATAATAGTAGAACTTGAATAATAGCTTAATATAATTAAATCGAGTATTAAATTAAAGTATCGAAAACGGTATGCTTAATTTTACAATTATTTTATTTCAAACAACCTTTTCTCAAATTAAAATCAAACAGGATAACCAAGTACAAAAGGGTCGCGACATAGTTGTGACAAGTATAGAAGATATTCAACTGAAATAAAAATCACTGTCATAAAAGGAACTTTTATTTTAAGATGTTAAATGTCACAGTAATTTGAATATTAGTAATTTTGTAATAACTAAAATTTAAAATTTTACGCCCAATATCTTATAGTGAAGCAATAAAACTTCATAGAATTTGTATAGTAAGCCACCAAAAGAAAGTATATTGCCTTTAGTTTACTCGATTATAATGTAATTAAGAACAGTGATTTATAAATTAAATTTATTAATAAAGTTATTCGAAACGAAAAAAAAAATTTGAAAATGCTTTTTTTACAGTAACATAGTTATGATATACTTTATAGAGTGTTCAAAATTGAATGCATATTTTCAATTTTTGGTGCTGATAGATTAATAATGTTTTTTTGATGCATAAGTTATCAATTGAGTCTATATTTTTCATAGACAAATATTAAAAAAAATCACATAATCTTAAACCAGTACCTTCTCATTTTCCGTTTGCCTACGATAATCCTACCCATTTGAACAAGTTTAGCTATATTTAAAGTAGCCAGTATTTTCAAACATTTTTCAAAATCTAAGAATGAAAAAAGTTTTTATTGTAATAAATTATTTATACATAAATTACTTTTAAGAAGTTTTTTTATAATATATTCAAGAAACTATAATTATACAATTAAAATTTTGAACATATAAGATCGTACATATAATATTAAACATATATATAATACATTGTATTTTTTTAGTAATTATGTTGTTCGAAGCTATAAGAAGTAAATTATAATTTTATTTATATCCACTTGATATTACTTAAAGTATATTATTTTGACTTATTTGTTATTTAGAAAACAATAGAACTTCAGTTTTTACTGGTAAGATGGAGATATAATTTTAATATACATGGAAAATTTATTTAGATCTTAATGTGACTTTAAGTTAGACGCTAGTTTTTCTTATAATTTTTTCACTTATAAATTTCCAATTCAACGGCTAAATACTCATAGTAGAATAACATATCATCAAGGGATTTTTATTCTAAGTATACTTAAGAAAAATTTGTGGCGATCGAATGTTCAAGAATGTTTGGCCGCCGCCGCCTCTGGAAGATTCGTCGCTCTACAAAGGGTGTGGCGGTCGAATGTTCTAGAGCGTTCCGCCGCCGCCTCTAGAAGATTCCTCTGACTATTTAAGAGCAAGATCGTCGCTCCAGTCAATCAGTCGATCAGTCAATCACTTATGCATTCTGTCCTAAACGCGCTTCGTTTCTCGCTGTTATTTGTTAGTTCGTTGTAATATAGTATAGTTGTTATTAAACCTTAAAAGTGTTTATTACTTCTATATATTACACCTCGCTACATTGGTGACCTCGACGTGATCAAGTATGAACGCCGAAGAACTACGCAATCAATTGGAGGAGTTACACCAAGAAAACGCTCTCCTTGCAGCACTAGAGGCACAGCAATATCCAACAGCTTCAGTGAATCGCGTTGCCGTCAAGTTGCCACCTTTCTGGTCCGAAAGACCGAGCTTATGGTTCTCACAGGTTGACTCGCAGTTTGCAATCTCGGGAATAACAAGTGAGGAAACAAAATTTAATTATATTGTGGCTCAGCTTGATACGCGTTACGCCGCCGATGTAGAGGATTTTATTACTAACCCACCGCCTACTGAACGCTACAAACATCTACGCGCAAAACTTGTTGAACGGTTGTANACATCTACGCGCAAAACTCGTTGAACGGTTGTCTATCTCAGAAGAACAACGTGTGCGGCAACTCATCAATGAAGAAGAACTAGGTGACCGTAAGCCATCACAGTTCTTACGACATCTCCGTTCCCTTGCCGGCACTACTACATTACAAGACAATATTTTACGTCAACTTTGGCTCCGCCGTCTACCATCACATGCACAAGCTATTTTAACCGCACTATTAGAGCTTCATCTGGATAAGGTAGCCGAGCTGGCTGACAAAATTGTTGAAGTGCAGCCAGCCCCCTCGCAATTCGTCCATGCTGTTGCCAGCACGAACAATAAAAAGGAACTCGATGTTTTAGCTGCCATTGTAGCACTCACAAAACAGGTAAGCGAATTATGTGCTAAACGCCCGCAACGTTCCCGCTCTAGGTCACGTAACCGTTCAAACGTGGAACTGACTAACGGCAAAGGATGGTGTTGGTATCATAGCACTTATGGAGAAAAGGCTGCCAAATGTAAAGTATCAGGAAAACTCCAACGACAGTCAGTAGCGGCGGCAACAGACTGTCCGAACCCGAGCAGCCACCTGTTTGTAACAGATCAAATAACAAAACGACAATTTTTAGTCGACTCCGGTTCTGACTTATCTTGTTCCCCTCAACGGCTACTACGGGAACGACGCCATGCCACCGATTACGACCTCAGCGCGGCCAACAACAGTACCATAAAAACTTACGGGACGGTCCATCTCAATTTGAATTTAGGACTTCGACGCAGTTTCCCGTGGAGTTTTATTGTCGCCGACATGAGTACTCCTATCATTGGTTCCGACTTCATGGCATACTACCACTTGCTGCCGGATTGCCGTACCAAACGTCTTATTGATGGTGTCACAGGCTTGGCTGTGAATGGTAAGGTTTCCTCTGTAAATCAATGCAGCATAAAATCAGTTGCCAACACTTCCCCTTGGGCTGCACTTCTCGCAGAATTTCCGGACATCACACGTCCCACCGGATTGCCCAGGACAATAAAACATCAAACGGTGCACCACATTCTTACGACACCTGGTCAGCCAATAGCCTGCCACCTACGCCGCTTAGCTCCAGATAGACTAAAAATCGCCAAACAGGAATTCGCGGAAATGGTCAATGCAGGTACCGCTAGACCTTTAAGCAGTCCGTGGTCTTTACCATTACATTTAGCACCGAAAGGGGAGAACAGCTGGCGTCCTTGCGGTGATTACCGCGCGCTGAACGCCCGAACTATACCAGACTCCTATCCAGTCAGACACATACATGATTTCTCGCACAACCTGGCTAATTGCACGCTATTTTCCACAATCGATCTGGTAAAGGCTTACCATCAAATACCTGTTAATCCGGACGATATATGCAAAACAGCCATTACCACTCCATTCGGACTTTACGAATTTCCTTTTATGACATTCGGATTGCGAAATGCTGGACAAACTTTTCAACGCTTCATAGACGAAGTTACCAATGGGTTGGACTTCTGTTATGCATATATTGATGACATTTTAGTATTCTCTAAATCGGAAGAGGACCACAAACAGCATTTACGCACTCTTTTCGGGAGACTTTCTGACTACGGTGTTGTCGTTAACCCGCAAAAATGTGTATTGGGTTCGGCTGAGGTGAAATTTCTAGGTTACCTAGTATCTTCTGAAGGCACCCGCCTGCCACCGGAACGCGTCGACGCCCTACGACAGTATCCATTGCCAAAATCTATGCAAGGATTACGACGGTTTTTGGGAATGGTAAATTTTTATCGCCGGTTTATTCCCAAAGCTGCCGACCTGCAAGCACCACTTCACGGTATTCTCAAAGGCCCGAAGACAAAAGGTTCCCAACCGATAGAATGGACTCCCGAGTTAGAAAAAGCGTTCACCACATGCAAAGAAAGTCTTGCGTCCGCTACTCTTTTAGTNCCACATGCAAAGAAAGTCTTGCGACCGCTACTCTTTTAGCACATCCTCATCCAGCCGCACGACTTGGACTATTCACAGACGCATCTAGCCAATCTATCGGCGCATGTCTGCAGCAGCAAGTCAATAACATCTGGCAACCCATAGCATTTTTTTCAAAGAAAATGTCGGTGAAACAAAGTGCGTGGCCTGCGTATTATCGTGAGTTGCTTGCCATCTATGAATCGGTGAAGTATTTCAGGCACATTGTCGAAGCACAACCATGTACCATTTTCACCTATCATAAGCCACTCGTATATGCTTTCATCCAACAGAGAGAAAAGATACCTCCTACGCAACTCAAACAAGTTGACATTCATATCGGAATGCACCACCGACATTCAACACATTAAAGGTGATGAAAATATCGTCGCGGATACAATGTCACGCATTGAAGTTGTGTCTCTTCCGCTGGACTACCGAGCTCTTGCTGCATCTCAAGACACGGATGATGAACTCAAACATTTTACTGACAAAAATTCATTTGGAGAAGGTACTAGTGCCAGGATCTTCAGCCTATATTTATTGCGACACGTCAACGGGACGCCCACGACCATTTTTGCCACAACGATTCCGGCGTCACGCATTTGATCAGTTACACAACCTTAGTCACCCCGGTGCACGCGCAACAGCTCACTGTCTGACGGTAATCGACCGTTTCACCCGTTGGCTGGAGGTATATCCACTCGAACGTATAACAGCAGATGATGTCACTAAGGGTTTCCTCAATTGCTGGATTTCACGCTTCGGAGTACCTCAATACGTTACGACTGACCGTGGTACTCAGTTTGTTTCAGCTACTTTAAAAACTTTAGCAAAACGTTTTGGTTTTACGCTTCGCCCCACTACCAGTTGGCATCCTGCTGCAAACGGATTCGTCGAACGAATGCACCGACAACTAAAGGCAGCCATCATGGCCCACGCAAAAGACTCGTGGAGGAAGACTTACCCTATCGTGCTTCTCGGAATACGTTCTGCGTTTAAGGAAGACTTAAAAGCCACGTCTGCGGAACTTGTTTATGGTGAGCCTCTTAATCTTCCTGGTGATTTCTTCACAGACAATCAAGATAATAGCAGTACGAACGACCCTACTAGCTTACTAGATCGTCTTCGCAGTGTTATGAATAAAATCCGTCCAGTACCTGCATCTCGCCACTCAAATCCACGATCATTTGTTTTTGCGGACCTTAAGGACTGTTCACACGTATTTCTCAGGGAGGGAGGTGTCCGAGCAGCACTTCAACCGCCATATCAAGGTCCCTACGAAGTAATTGCCCGAAATGACAAAACGTTCACAATAAAAGTTCGAAATAAACCAGTTACGGTGACGATTGATAGAGTAAAACCTGACTACCTCATGGTGAACGAAAGCACAACCGATAGCCAGGCACATGCTCCACCAGCGACTGCCCCGAATACGCCCAAACAAAAACAACCGCCTAATACTGATCCATCAACACAGCCAGTACGAACAACTTGCTCAGGCCGCCGAGTAAGATTCCCGGACATTTTTGACCCTAGCTAACTCCACTCCGAAGGGGGTTGATGTGGCGGTCGAATGTTCTAGAGCGTTCCGCCGCTGCCTCTAGAAGATTCCTCTGACTATTTAAGAGCAAGATCGTCGCTCCAGTCAATCACTTACGCATTCTGTCTTAAACGCGCTTCGTCTCTCGCTGTTATTTGTTAGTTCGTTGTAATATAGTATAGTTGTTATTAAACCTTAAAAGTGTTTATTACTTCTATATATTACACCTCGCTACAAATTTATTATCTTCAGTTCACTTGGATAAAATTTTATTAGGCCCAGTGATTTAAAAATAAAGTTATAGCAATTTAACAGCGGAAAAAAAATTGAATATGTATTTTTTTACAGTAGCATAGTTATAAACATTTTTTCTAGTGATATAACGACACGACTTACGTCGCAATAATGTAGTCAACACTGGAATTGAGGGTTGAGACCCGTGGGCCATTTATAAATAAGCAACAATAGGTTGTCAATACCATACCAGAATCCAAACACGCCGTTGCCGCCAATTACCTCCCTTCTATTTCACCGGTGGGTGTGGCTTGGTCACCACCACTCCTTGCAGTCGCAGTACCAACCCCGTGGTTGGCTGGAGGAGCCTGCTTCAAGACTCCTGCATTTGGTGCGTAATCAATTGATGACGACACGTGGTGGGTACGACCCCCAACAACCGCTGGCACTGGGGCATCCGAATCCCCTGATGCAGTAACATTTACTTCGTTTGTTTCCATTATCATAAAAATAAAGTATGATTTGAGGTGGCTGCTCTTATTGCCAGTCTCTCTGGCCAGTGAGCGGCTAACATCACTGGTTGCAATACCGTTTATCTCCGTTCGCACCTTTTTTTTTTTACGACCGGCATTATTGTGGCCCCCCCTGGAACTGCTGTGAGTCATTACTTCAAGGCGGCCCACGACGTCTTAATAATTCACTCAACCACGTTGCAAATCAGCACGAAGTTAATCAATAGCTGATTCGCAACGTGGGCCAAAACTATGCAGGGCTTTGGGTTGGCGGTGAGCCTGGACATCCGAAACGCGTTCAACTCCGTGCGATAGTCACACATTCTCGGAGCGCTGGACGCGTTTCGGGTGCCTCTTTACCTCGAGTGGATGATCCGGTCGTACTTTAGCAATCGGGTCATCTCTTACGAGAGCGCCGCGGGCCCGAGAATCCGACCTGTTACGGGAGGCGTCCCGCAAGGGTCAGTTCTCGGGCCTCTGCTGTGGAACATCGCGTACGACGCGGTGTTCCGCGTTCCGCTACCACCGCACGTGTGTGTCGTCTGCTACGCGTAGGAGGCTGGATCTCGGGCGAACTGCGCGCTCAGTGCAGTCTCCGCCTGCATCCAGCAGGAGGGGAGCGGACTTAGCCTCGCCCTGGACAAGACCGAAGCGGTCTTGATGACGGGCAGGTACAAGTTTACTCCTCCACACGGCTGCTTTAACAAGTACTTACACCGTATTCGTAAAGCAGCCGCGCCGTCGTGCGACTACTGTTCGGATCGCCCGGGAGAGGCTGATAGTGCTTTGCACACTCTCTTTGGTTCGAGGCGTGCGCCCAGGAACGGGATTCTTTGGAGTATCGACTTGGGTCTACGTTTCGAGTCGGGCCCATTGTGCACCTATTGTTGAGGAGCCGGGTAGCGTGGAGGCTCGTCCAGGCGTTTGCCAAATCCGTCTTATTGAAGAAGGAGGAAGCGGAACGCCTGAGACAGACGTAGCCACGCCGCCCGGTACAGGATGACCTGAATTATTAAGACGTCGTGGGCCGCCTTGAAGTAATGCCTCACAGCAGTTCCAGGGGGGCCCACAATAATGCCGGCCGTTGTAGAAAAAAAAAAGGGGGAACCATCTTGGGCCTCTTGGCCAAAACCGGTCGGGGAGTCGCCGTC